TAATACGACTACATACATATACAAGATACAGTTCCAACAGTAAGTTATATATTTATCAAAATGTGTGACACATATCATTAGATATATTTTTATTTATTCGTATTCATCAATAGATATGTTTTTTATATTCATAATCACTAAAAAAAAGTTTAAAAAAAGCTTTAATACAATAAATTTTTTTCAAACAAGTTTAATACCATCTAAGTCATTACCAAGTTTAATACCATCAAGTCATTACCGATTAGTTCACAAAACTAAGTCATTTACAACTATAATAACATCCAGCTAGTACACATACATTGGGCTAGCATATGTAAAACCACTGCAAACGTCGGCTGTTTTTTTCTGATGCAAATACAACGTTGATTTAATATCATGTACTTAGCAATTAAGTAATTGAAAAGAATAATATTGACACGACTAAAACCACCTTGCGCAGTTATATTGGTCCAACGTATCTGAAAACATTGCAAAATTTGATTGTTTATTAGATCTAAACCCAACGTTGATTCAATGTCTATAACCCAACGTTGATTTAATGTATATGGATCAACGACAACCCAACGTTGATTTAATGTACATGGATCAACGACAAACCAACGTTGCGATTGCAAAATTATATAGCTTAACTAAAATTTTTTGTGATTATTGAAACACCAAAACACAAGCGAAAAAAATATTATTTATGTCTATATAATCGACGGATGGATGAAATTGGTAGTTGTCCCTTTTTTACTCTCGCGGTTTCTAATTTTTTCATTGTTTATAAAAGCCCAGAGCTTTTGCAAAACTATCAGTGATAAAGCAATAATACTTGGTTAGTATGTTTATGTTATCATAATGATTCATTGTCTGCATGAATTTTCAGTTAGCTAGTAGAAAAGTTTGAAATTAAAATAAAAAGTTCTTAAATTTGTAATCTGGTATATATATGCTCTTTTTAAGTTTCAAGTCTTATAATTTTGATAAAATAGTAATTTTTTAAATACTACTTAGCTTTTTCCAAAAAGATTTGAAGTTTTTTCACATATACTTACTACTCAATTTATTTATATGTTATTAAATTGTTGACAGATTTACATTATTAGATGAATATCAAATGGCGTGAACTTTCATTATTAAATGGCGTGAACTTTCAATTAAATGCTTACCCAGCTAGCACACATACGTTGTTAAAACATTAAAACAATGTTGCGCGTTTCGTTGGCCCAACATCACCTGCCAACGTTGTTTTTATATCATTATGGTTACAAATGCGACGTCGCCAACAACTAAAAACCAATGATGATAAATCGTTTATTTAAAGTTATATTTTCTACGTTGATTCAACGTTTTATTTTATACGTTGGCCCAACGTTGTATTTTACGTTGTTTCAACGTTGGCAAAACGTTGCCAATTTTATTTTAAAATAAATTTTCATTAAATTCTATTTTCTTTATATATATATATATATATATATATATATATATATATATATATATATATATATATATATATATATATATATATATATATATATACATATATATACATATATATATATATATATATATATTTGTATATATATATATATATATTTATATTTATATATATATATAATATATATATATATATATATATATATATATATATATATATATATATATATATATATATATATATATATATATATATATATATATATATATATATATGTATATATATATGTATATATATATATATATATATATATATATATATATATATATATATATATATGTATATATATATGTATATATATATATATGTATATATATATATATATATATATATATATATATATATATATATATATATATATATATATGTATATATGTATATATATGCATATATATATATATATATATATATATATATATATATATATATATATATATATATATATATATATATATATATATATATATATATATATATACACGTATTAGTGCTTGCATATATCTTCGCGAGAGTGCTCGATGAATTAAAGTAAATTAAAATGATTTAAATTAAAACAGAGCTGTATTTACATATATTATTTATAAATAAACTGCATATTTTTCACAACTATTAGTTTCATGCTAAATGCAATCAATTGGGAATGATGCAATGCACTTATAAATTACATTTGTTTTTCTGCATTTTCCATTCATAGGGTAGATTTTGCTTAGTTTACAATTGCAGATTATATTTCTTTATCTTTTACCAGATTATATTTCTTTATCTTTTACGATTGGGGTTTACTTTGGTATCAATTTTAGGGGTTGTATTTGAAGCTAAAATCTTTGAACTCATTTCTTTTTAGGGCTTTGTCATATTCTTCCCTTGCCGAGTTGAATATTTTTTCGTCAGAAGAATTCTGGGATAATCTATCGTTGATAGCAATCGGAATTTGTTTAATAGTTTGTGGGGGGTGGTTGGACTCAATGTGGATGTAAAGTAGGTTGCTATTTGGTTTTTTGAAAGGATGATATGAGTCTTTTTCAAAGTTAAATGTAACGTCTAAGAAGTTAGCGATTGTTAGGTTTGTCGTAATTTCTATTTGGAAGCCGATTTTTTTAAAAATTTTTCTAATATTTTTTCGGATTCTATCTATCTGTGCGGCAGATTTTTGACGCATTATTATCAGTCCGTCGTCCCGGTAAAGGCCCATATCGCTGTTGGTAACAGTTTCAGATAATGAATATAAATATACAGACTTGCAATTGTATAATATATGCAATATATTATATATAATTATAATATATTATAATATATGCAATATATTATATATTGCAATTGTATAATATATGCAATAATATATACAAACTTACAGTTGTATACTAAGCAAAATCTACCCTATGAATGGAAAATGCAGAAAAGCAAATGTAATTTATAAGTGCATTGCATCATTCCCAAACTCATCCGACAAAACAAAACATTGATTCAACAGAGGGCATGTGGAAAACTAGATGGGCGAATCACAAGCAATCCTTCAAAAATAAAGAACTCACAAATGCAACCACACTTTCTAAATATATATGGGATACACAAAATAAAACAAAAACAACACCCAATTTAAAATGGTCCATCATAAAATATGCCCCCGCGTACAACAACATAACCCAAAAATGCTTGTTATTCTTATACAAAAAACTAATTATTTTATTGTATAAAAATCCTCAAGAATTATTAAACAAAAAAAACGAACTAATATCTAAATGTCGCCATGAGAACAAGTTTTTGCTGGACAACCACAAACCAAAAGATTAGATTTTTTAACTCATTTTCTTTTGTACAGATTTATTATTTTTACGAGAAAAAAAAACATATTTACACCTGATGATTGCATTTAGCATGAAACTAATAGTTGTGAAAATTGCAGTTTTATTTATAAATAATATACGTATATATATATATATATATATATATATATATATATAATATATATATATATATATATATATATATAAAGTTGATATCGCTTGATTGTAACTTTATATATATAAAGTTGATATCTCAGGATTGCAGCAGCCGTGGCGCAGCGGTAGCGCACTTGCTTCAGAAGCGTAAGAGCCGTTGTTCAAACCCCACCACCTGGGAAAGTTTTGCGATATCGGTTGGGAAGAAGGCGTGAACTTCTTATTAGATGCTCTTCCGCGGTACTCTGTGATAAGACCGTAAGGACTTTTTGAGGCACCTAAAAACGACTTACAAAAAAAAAATTTAGTAAAAAATATCATGTTTGTATTGATTGCGGTTTGATATTTTAATAATCACGGAGTATGTAAATAAAAACAAAGCAATGTTTGCTTTGTTTTTATTTACATTCGGATCAACGTTGATTTATATACATTGAATTAACGTCGAAATATATACATTGTATCAACATTGGGTTTAGGTTGTAAAAACAATCAATTTTTTGCGATGTTTTTATATACATTGGACCAATGCAAATTTGGCGGATGTTTTTAGTTCCGCCGGTAATAATTTTATCATTAACCAAATGACATTGGATCAACGTTGGTTTTGCATTGGAAAAAAGAGCCGACGTTCGCGATGGTTTTACTTACGTTGGCCCAATGTAAGTGTGCTAGCTGGGTATCAGCGGTACTCTGTGATAAGACCGTAAGGACTTCTTAAGGCACCTAAAAAAAAAAAAACTGATTACAATACCTGGGCCGGTCCGAAAAGGTCTCAAAGGAAAAAGGGGAGATATGTATGTTTTTTTGCCGACTAACGACTGAAAAACGAGATAAAAAAAAAGGTCCTCGTTAACTAATATTTGCCAATTTCTCCAAAAAGTGTTGATTGCAGTTCCAAATAAGCTAACTCATTTTTGAATACAGTTTTGGTTGGGGGGTTAAACATCCTTTAACGCGTCCCCCCTTCCTCGAGACGGCCCCGTAAAAAACTAATCTCCTGTAAATTCTTCGAAATTTTAAACGAAGAAATTCCATTTCCGAAAAATCACGTGACATTCTTGTTGCGTCATTTTCACGGAAAATTTTAAATACAGAAAATTATAAATCAGTATAAAGACGGAAAATTATAAATACAGTCCGTGAATTTTCACGGAAAATACAAAAAGATGTTGGAAAAAAGGAAACTGCTCAGCTGACGTATAGTAACTGAAATACTTGAGGAGCGGAAGAATAATTGGATATTTTATTTTTAATAAAATTCTTATTTGACGCCAGCTTTCTTCAAGTTAAATAGGAAAAAAACGATGGTGATAGTAATGACGATGATGATGCATCATCGATGATGATTGGTGATGATGATGATAATGATGATGATAATGATGATGATGATGATGATAATGATGATGACGATAATGATGATGATGATGATGATAATGATGATGATGGCGATAATGATAATATTAATAATGGTAATATGATGAGGATGATTGTGATGATGATGATGTCATCATCATCGTCATCATCATTTTTGATGATGATAATGATGATGATGTAATGATGATAAGGATGATAATGATGATATTATAATTTTCATTTCAGATTAAATAGCATGACTGAAGAAAATGAATTACAAGATGAAGTTAATGCTATTTATAATGACTTTCTTGAGGCGTCAGATCTCATTCCCACTCTTAAAATATTCAGCAAATTATGTGAATGTCTTAGTATAAATGAAAAGAACTACAAAACAGTTTTTTCTTCATTAAAATTAAAACTTACCTCAAGGAAATTCCAAACATTGTCTAGTATATTAGAAAAAAAGGCTAAGCATGTTGATTACAAAAACAAACCATGTTCTAAATCAAAGATTTTAATTATTGGTTCTGGACCTATTGGATTAAGAACTGCTATTGAAGCTGCATTGTTAGGTGCACAAGTTTTTGTTGTTGAAAGTAGGAACAGCTTTTCTAGAAATAATGTTCTTCATTTGTGGCCATTCCTAATTACTGATTTAAAAGCACTTGGTATCAAATCCTTTTTTGGAAAATTTTGTGCTGGAACTCTTGATCATATAAGTACCAATTTTAAAGTTTTTATTTATTATGTTAGTTTTTAACTTTGAGTTTTGTAAAAAATGGTCCTTAGACATGTTAAATAAAGTTGAAAACAGTTTATATTCTAAATAATTATTGTAATGCATTAATAAAATTTGAAATGTATAGTAACTTTTTGATAAAATGATGTTCATTTTTTAATTTAAAAATATTAGTTAGTATCAATTACCTAATGCTTAATTACCTACTTTAGTTAATTAAGTTTTATTAATCTAAGATTCAAATTATTTTTTCAACTTCAGGCTAAAGTTTTAAAATAAATTATTCTTACAACTTCAGGCTAAAGCTTTAAAATAAATTATTCTCACAACTTCAGGCTAAAGCTTTAAAATAAATTATTCTCACAACCAACAAACCTTAAGTACCTAAATTTTAAATAGTTAGACTTTATTTCTTTTCTGTGAGAGTTTATAACATGACCATTTATAAATTTTTTTTTGCATTTTTAAAATCCTTTTAAAATGTTAAAACAAAACGATATGCAAAGAACAAATTGTAAAAGTAATTTTTGAAATGTTTTTATAGCCTAATGACCTCATTATTAGAAATTGTAAATATCTTATATTGCCTAAATAAAATTGTTATACACTATTAGTTGCTGTTAAATAGAAATAAATTGTTTAGATGGAAGTTCCTCATATAATATTACAGAATTTCTTTTCTGTATATTGATTTACACTATAAAATAGTAAATTCTCATATTATTGTATCATATCAGATTAATTTAGCTATTCCAATAGGCATGGAACATAAAAAAGATGTCTTTTGAACATTCCGAATCTTTTTCGAACGTTCACAAGATGTCTTTTTTAAGTCCTGTGTCTACTAGGATATTGTCAATAGTCATATAAAATATTAATTTTGGCCATTAGAAATCATAAAATAGTAATTTTAAGGTTGCAGCTTCAAATCAAAAGTTTCAAAATATTAAGCTGGAATGTTTTTTACATCTGGTAACTCTTTCTATTTTTTTGTATTTTAGGTTTTTCCTATTTAGTAAAGGGATATATGTCCATGTAGCTTGAAAAAATGTGAAATAACAATTGATAAGAAATATTTTGAGTAATTTTAGTAAAAATTTAAGAAAAAAAAATTTTTTTTTCTTAAATTTTAGACTAAATTAGACTAAAAATTAAAGAATGATTCAAGAAAAATCATATATTTATTATTCAAAAAAAACTGTTTTTTTTTTTTTTAAATTAATTTAGAACTTTTTGTAATGCATGAGTTTTTTTAATCTTTACAATGTTTTATATTTTTTTGTAGGTATTCGAAGATTGCAATGTATACTTTTGAAGATATGTTTAGTACTTGGGATTCAAGTTTATGCAGAAACAATTTTTTATGATATTCTTCAACCAAGTGATGGTATTGTTTATTCCAATATTTATTGGCATATTTAATTATTTCTCCTATATTGTTTTTAAATGTTCTTAAATTAAAATTAAACTAAATTAAAAATGAGATATTTTAACAAGCAAAGTAAAAAAAAAAGTCAAGGGAAGTTCAAGACAAATCTAGTAAGAAAACCTAAGCAAAAGTATTATAAAATTTTTTTTTTCAATTATGAAATACTTGTTCAATAGTGATGAAAATTTTTACCTAACTACTTTTTAGGGTGAGGAACTCAAAAATCATGACTAAAACGTTATAAAATTTAAGCTTCTATATAAATATTCAATTTCAAACACTTTTTGTAAGATTTTTGATGCCCCGTACAAAAAAAAGTTCATCTCAAGATGCCTAAATGATATGATTCTGAAATTTTTTCCTAATATTCTATATGTAACAAACTCCATCATACAAAAAATCTGGGAGGGTTTTCTTTTTTAAATCAAATTTATTTGCATTTAAAGTCTTACAATAATAAATAAAAAAAAAATTAAAATCACACTAAAACCATGGAAATAATTAAATTACAATAAGAAAAATTAAAACTAAAAGGTAATAAGAATTAACAATCTTTGACATTTAAAAAAAATAAGAATTAAAAATCTTTGACAGATAACAAATTAGTTCTCTGGTTTAAAGTTTGCCCAGCTATCTTTAATGCTCTGGTGATCAATTTCACTGATTTTGTATTGTCTTCCTGTAATAGTTGTTGGAATATTAATCATTAGCAATAAGTTTGTTGATGGAACCCAGCAAACATCATCTCTAGAAGGCCAACAATATGACCTTGAAGGGTAACATGGATGCATGAAACTGACTTGAAAGTCTTTATTTTCACCATCAATTTCCTCAACTAGTCCGATCCATGGATTGTTATCATATATCAAACATACAAACACGCCAATGCTTATATTAGACAAGAATCCTTTAATAATCTCATCAGTTTGAAAATTAAAAACAAATGAATACTCCAATTGTTCAGAAACAATTTTAGTTCCAATTTTTGTGTTACTTATTGGAACGAAATTGTGATAGCTATGAGTGCCTGGTAACGTTTTTGCAGTTGTATATCTTTTCTCCATTTCACTTCGAATTATCGTGTTTGACTCCTTGGAAATGTAATAAAAATTAATTTCTATGATTTCATTTTGGCAAAAATTAAACATTGCAGACGCTGTAAGAATATGATTTGTTGTTGTTCGATGAAGGCTAGCAATTGAAGTCAGTCTTTTTACAGTCCCACCAATACCATCACAGGGTGATTTACCGTGACTTGTTGCAAAGAAAGACCAGGTACATTTCATAGCAAAATCTTGTTCATGGTGGCATATATTTACGAAGTGTTTGCAGTTCTTGTACTGGCCAGCACACCCATCTGAAAAGTAATAGACACTTTATATTTGATGAGAAATATTGCTTTTGATATGTTCAATTGTTAGCTTCATCACATGATAAACCATATCAACATCATGCAGTAAATCATCTGAGATGAAACATATTGAATCACATTTGAGGTCATTATTTTCTTTATAATAAATTACTGTTGGATGCAATGTGGCTTGAATTTTGTTCCAATAAAAACTTTGTATTTCGTCTTGTACAAAATATTTTTATTTAGACATTTATAAAGAAACAAAGATTTTATTATTTTATTTGCTATTTTCCTAATATAAAAAAAAATCAGTTAGGAACTTGTCAAACCAATGCGACAAGTTATTCAATCTTAACATAATTGCAAAATATAATTATAAACAATTTTCTATTTTTTTTCAGTTCTTCAGATTTACATAAGTTAATTTTTTTTAGAGCTATGGGTTTTAATTTTTTTTTTAATTACTCTTTCCTTAAGATTACTTTTTTTTATAATTTAGTTTAACCTGTTTATGATTTTTTTGTCGGTTTTATTCAACGGATTTTTTAATTTCTAAAGAGCTGTGGTCAAGCTTTCAAAAGCAATTACATGCATGGTTAAGACTGGGATGCGATTACACGCCTTTCCTTTCCATGACTGCTTTGGCTGTTGCATTTTACAAAGGAAGTTTTGGCTTTGTCAAATCGTTCCCTGGATATTGCAATTTTAATTTTGACCAAGTATTTCAAAATAACCCCATTTTCATGTCATAAAAAAATATTTTCTTCAATAAAATAAAATATAACAATGCCAAAAATATTGAAAAAAACATTTAAAATGTTTTTTTGTTTTTTGCAGAGTTAAAAAAATGCAATAAGAATGCTGAAATATGAAAGGGAACATACTTAAAATTAAGAAAATAATTAATTTATATTAATTGTTTTCTTAATTTTGGGACTTTTTGAAAAATTAAGAACATGAAAGTTTTAAATGACCTTAACATCACATTAAATCTCAATGACCATACATTTAAACTATATTCACACTGATTCAAACCACCAACCACATTCAATTAAGTTAAGATTATTTTCAAACTCAAAGCAATTTTTCAAAGATCTACTCCTA